GGTTTCCACAACGGTTGAGGGAACACGTGGTCCGATAGCTTGGCAGAGCTCTTGCCACAACGCTCGGCCAAATGGGCGCTCTCAAAAGGCAGGGGGCGGCGATGATTCGCCGTAGGCGTCTTCAATTGATTGCACCACATGGATTGCACCACGTAACTTGCACCACATAACCACAGAACTTACACCACATGGATTGCAACTCATAGCTTACACCACACACATTGCACCACATACAGTGTACTACATATATCGCACCACACAGCTTGCACCACATGGATTGAACCACACATATTGCAACAGGTAGGTTGCACCACACAGTATGCTAGAACATTATGTGTGGGTTCCGCCCTGGCTAGCATACATGTGTGTATACATACCCACAGGTGCCCTTTCTCCCGCAGTCGTTGGGTAGAAGAGAGCTAAGGCTCAGGGTTGGCCTTGCCACGCACCCTGGCTCACTCTCGCCCGACATCATCTTCCGAGCAGGGAGGGGATTTGGAGCCTCACCACGGTCCCCTGTGGAAGCTTCACCAACTACCATTCGGGGATGGACAGACCCCCCTCTAGTAAAACGTGGTTTAGTGAAAACGACCTCAGGCCCAAACCTGGCGGGCGCAAGCCTGGAAAATCACGGCCACGGCGCCCTCTCGAGAACCGAACGACGTGTCACTGTTGGGGGTTCTGTCCACCCCCGAACCATGCGCCCCTCTCCCCGATCCCTCCTCCTCCTCCTCCCCCTCCCCCTCCTCCGCCCTCTCCTCCTCATCCGCCCTCTCCCCCTCCACCTCTTCTTCTTCTTCTTCCTCCTCCTCCTCCTCCTCCTGCTCCTCCTCCTCCTCCCTTTGGATTGGCGCTGCCCCCCCCGCCTTCTGGCGGCGCCTCCGCCCCTGGCGGCGCCTCCGCCATGCCGGGGAGGGGCCCAGCTCCGATCCAAAAGATCCGTGCGGACCTCCGAAAGTTCGTGTGTATAGGGAAGCGAACTCTATACACCAACGCTTTTTCCGGCCCCGCGCTGAGATTCGCACAGGAACGCGGATCCTGGTGCATACGGGATCCTGGTGTCTACATGTTTCGTTGCTCCCACGGGGATAAGGGGGAAAAAATGTACACCACACCACCCCGACGTCGCCCCCGACCCTCAAAAATTCCTGGGATTGCAAAACGGCCCGCCACTGGTAACGTATACGCTCCAGTTTCCGAGTGTATGTCGCTCTCTGCTCTTCGAGAGTGATCCCCATACCCCGGGTGTCTTGATAAGCGTCGGGGGGGGGACGTTACCCCCGCCGACAGCCACACCATCGACCCCCGTCGCGGGCGGCCACCGCACGCAGCAGGCGCTCCGACCCCCCGTCGCGGCGCGACGACGAGGCGAGGTTGATCCCCGTCGGGGGGGTACCCCTCCACGCTTGCTGAGAAACCCAGAGCACGCTGCCCCCGATCGCGCAAAATTGAGCGGTTCCTTCTCCCTCGGCTGCGAGCCGCTCAGCACCATCCGCTTACCCGCCAGGACCTGCTGCGCGTCGTCGAGGGCCCTCATCTCCGCCTCGGGGCCGCGTCTCTTCGCAAGGCGAGGCAGCAAGAGGCGAGGGGAGGGGGTTGGGGGATACTGACAGTGAACGGACGACGATGCACAGCCACATGCTGAAACTGAAACCCAAGGAGATCGCCCTTTCCTGCAAATACGCGTGAGACGGCCTTGCTCGCATCACTCGGAGAATAATGACACCGAGCAGGAGGGCGAGGGCGAGAAACAAGGACGAGAATGTCCAACGCACGGAGAGGATCACGCCCAGGCAAATACAAGTCAAAGTCATGCCCGCAGGAGGAGGAGGAGGAGAAGGAGAAGGAGAAAGAGCAGGATAAGGAGGAGCAGGAGGAGGAGGTGCGCGCAGGCATCACTGGGGGAGGCCTTGAGAAGAATGGCCCTTGTCCCAAAAGTACCATACCGCTAGTCAGATCGGAGATACTAGTGTCCATGATCAAACGCTGGGTGTGTGGAGGGGATCTTTGCCCACTGAAGCCACTCCCTGGAGCTGAACAGGTCTGAACAGGTTACATGTTTTACATGTTGGCGAGAGGTGTAGTACAAGATGAAAATGAGGAGGGGCAGGGGCAGGTCGATGACTGGAACGATTGATCAGGAGAAGCAGCAGCAGGGGTGAAGCAGCGGCAGGGAAAGCAGCATCAGCAGCGGCAGGGGGGGGAATGGGAGGAGGATGCGGAGGAGGAGAGCGAAGGAGGAGGAGGAGGAGGAGAAGGAGGAGGAGGAGGAGGAGGAGGAGGAAGAGGGGTAGAAGAAGGGGAAGAGAAGGCTGAGGAGGGGAGGGAGTAGGAGGTTGAGAAGGATGGCGAGGAGGGCAGGAGGCGGGGGAGGGGGCACCGGGCAGGAGATCAAAAGAAGAGGAGGACCACGCACCCTGAGACTCGTAAGTTCAGCTGCCAAGCCTCTGAACGTCACCAAGGCGACTGCTGAGGCGTTGACTACTGGACTGAAGGCCTGAGGCACGCTAGCACACCAAAGCCAGTCAGTTCGGTGATCCTCGCCTCAGCGGCCGCCGTGGTGACGCTCAGAGGCCCGAATCGCTGAATTGGACCTCAAGACACGCAAGGAGGGAGCGTGGAGGGGGAGTGGGGAGGGCGGAGGGGTGAAGGAGGATGGAGGACATTTTGGAGGCGACCATTGGGTCTGAACTGGTTGGGGCATAAGAAAATCGGTCAAGAGGCGGGTTGAAGGCAACTCCGATCAAAATCGATCCTCGGACCCATCACGGGGTCCATCTGGTGTAGTCTTCATCCCAGATCAGTTGTTGACGGTCCCAGGGGCCGAAAACGGTCCCCAGAGGCATAAAAAGGCAAACAAAACAATAACAACAAAAAACTCGAACCCAGAACCTCACTCGGGAGCGGCCAAGAGGGGGGTGTCCAAGAGGGGGGGGTGCAAATCATGAGCGGCGGCATGTGCGCGGCCCAGCGGGGGGGCCAGGGACGTCATGAAATAAGAAGAGGCGCCATGAAATCTGGGGGAATATCATGGCCCCCGCCATGATATCCCCCCCCTAGTCATCACCCCCCTCTTTGCCGCCCCCGACTCTCCGATCTCGCCCTCCTTTCCTGCTCGCCCGGGACCAGTGCTGGGCCACAGCCGACTCCGAGGGACATCTGGGTCACCCAGCTCGGCGCATCGCGCCGCGCGACGTTCGGCGGCGCGCAAGAGGGGGGTCAGGGGGAGGGGAGACGGCTTCTTGGAGGCACACTGCTTCTCAGAAGGCCCCGGCCTCACATCTGTAGGTTAGGCCAGCGCCATCTAAGGAGCGGGGGTGCTCCTAAGAAGCCTTCCCCCTCCCCCTACCCCCCCCCCTGCGCGTGGCTGCGATGCGCGGCGCGCGGCTCTCTCGGCGCCCTTGCGGCGCCGCCCTGGAGAAGGGCGCCATCGCGGCCCGGCGGGCCGCGCAGAGCGCCGCGCGACTCCCTGCGCGCCCCCGCGGGCGCGGCGGAGGACGCGGGAGTGGCTGCGCGGAGGGGCAGCGGTGCGCCACCGCGCAGTGCAGCGGTGGGTGCGCGTCGGGCCCCGTCGCCCCCTGCGAGGCAGCGAGGAAGGCCCCCCCCCGCCCGTCGAGGCCGAGGTGCCTTCGTGTTTGTGGCCACCGGGGGGGGGAGGGGGGGGGAGGGGTCCGTGGCCATCGCCCCTCCCCCCCCACCCAGTGAAGGCGCCCTGGGACACACAAATAAATACACACAAATAACGGGATTCCCCTATATTTTCCCATATTTTCTGGGTTTTTGCCTTCCCCCCACTGCCCATATTTTCCCATATTTTCGGGGGAATCGACGATGAATTGTGTCTGTGTGGTTTTTTCCCTCCCCCCCACAAGGCTCCTGCCCCCCCCCCCGCCCGCCTGAGCGCGATGCGCGCCAGCGCAACCGGAAAGGGAGAGACTGGCCCAGGCGGGGGGGGGGGGGGGGGGGGAACATCGACCTGGAATCGGCGGTACATCGCCGACACATCGGCGATATGCCCCCGGCAGCGAAGCCGCAAGTTCCGGCACGGGGTGGGCTATCATCGGGCCCCCGTCGGCGACGAATAAACGCTTGGGGGTCGAGGCATCCCCCCCCAAGCCTACTACACCCCCCTGACGGTGGCCCTGATTACGGGGGGGACGAGGTCTTCGCGGGGGAATGGAGGTCGGTGGACGAGGGACGGGCGGTGGCAACGGGGGGAGGAGGGGGCAGGGCACCCGCGCTGGAGGCCATGCCTGCAACAGCACGCCCGCGCAACCCGAAGAACCAACACTGCCGGTACACTGAGCAGGCTCGAATTGAGCAGTGCTTTCCGTTATCGTCTGTTTTCTTATATTCGCTGTCTTTGCGCCGCCTCTGCTGCAGAACGAAACCAGAACGAAAACGGTCCACGGAATACAAAACACCGTTCAGCTCGAGCTCTGGCCCTAAGCAGAGCTATAATCGCGAGGCCAGCTGGCGGCGGCCACTCGCCGAGATCAGGAGGCCAATCGCCGGCGCTTGCCCGTGTCGCCGACGAGCGTGACGACGACATTCTCGCCGAAGTCCTCAACGAACTCGCGCACCACAGTCTGGAGGTCGGGGACCTCCACCATGCCCAGCCGCTTGGCCCTGTCGTGGGACAGGTTGGAGCCCATGCCTCCGACTACGCGGGAGAGGAACTCGTCCTCGGCGTCCGTGATCTTCCCTCGGGGATCTTCTCACCAGGGTCAATCCAGACCCAAGTCAGAGAGGCCCTGCAGGTTCCTGCAAGATCCTGCAGGATCCTGCAGGATCCTGCGCCCAAGCCCAAGTCAATGCGGCCCTGGCCCTGCAGGATCCTGCAAGATTCGGCGCTTTGACTGACCCCCGTTTGCATTGACCCCCGTTTCTTGAGCCCCGATTGCCGAGAGACCCGTGCTGCTCCGGCGGCACGACCGCCAAGAGGGCGTCCACCAGCTGCTGCAGCGTGGCGGGGCGGGAGGGCAGGGTGGCCGAGCGGTCTACGAGGCCCTCTGGCCACTCGGCGTCGTGGAGGACGGCCGGGGGACGTCCACTCTCCTCCTCCTCCTCTTCCTCCTCCTCCTCCTCCTTCTCCTCCTCCTTCTCCTCCTCCTCCTCATCATCATCACCTCCTGCCTCCTCCTCCTCCTCCTCCTCCTCCTCCGTTTCCTCCTCCTCACCTCCACCTCCTCCTCCTCCTCCTCCCCTCCTCCGCTTCCTCCTCCTCCTCCTCCTCCTCCTCCTCCTCCTCCTCCTCCTCCTCCTCCTCCTCCTCCTCCTCCTCCTCCTCCTCCTCCTCCTCCTCCTCCTCCTCCTCCTCCTGTTTAACCAGTTTAAAGCAGCCACAGACTCCCGCAGTGCAAGAGACCGAGCAACAAAAATGGGGATGGGCCTTACTCCCGCTGCACCTGAATGCTACGCCCAAACTCGGCCCTCGAACTGGGATCCTTGCCCGCGAGGAGCAAAGCCAACGTCTTGTCAGCCGCCGACTTTCGAGGCCTGTTGTTGCATTTCTCTTTCAGGAAGCGGGACCGTGCAACCCCGAACGCCGCGCATTTCCGACACCACACCACAGTCCCAGACGGCCCCGAACCCACCCAGAGGACGTGTGTGGGGTGTGCAGTCGCGGCGATCACTGGAATGCCTGGGCACGCGAAAGCCGCCAGACCTCCTCTGGATCTGGCATGGCCTCCGCAACAGGCACACACACATAACCTTTGCCTTCACTACAGACCGTGTGTCCGTTGTCATCGGCAACTAATTCAAGCTGGGGGATACCACCGCGGGACTTGAGGGGTTTGGCTTTGCCTTTGCACCGCTCAACATCCTTCAGACCTCGACAGAACACCTCCCCCAACATAAACCCGAGAAACTTGCCAACCTGCTTAATTCCAACACTCACAAGTTTAAACCAGCTACGCAAATCATCATCCTGGTCCTGAAGTGGGCCCCCCTCCCTCGCAAGACGGTCGGCCTCCTTCTTGCCCTGCCACGCGTAGAAGGGGCAGCCCTGGCCCATGGCCTGGTTCCAGGACAGGTGAGATTTGATATTATTCAGCTGGATGGTTTCCCATCCGATATTTCGAGCTTTAGCCAAGACCTTTTCCCTGACCTCCGAAAACGCAAGCCTCGAAACATCCTGGTCTGGGCCAGAGCTCCACACGTCTATCAACACGTTACAATCGGTCCATATCTCTAACGGCCCCGCACCCGCATGGAGGAGGGCCATATAGAGCGCCCACAACTCCCCCCACACACACACACACACACAAGTTGGTTTGCAAGGGGTCGGAAGGGGGCCGTACATGCTACCCAGAATCTGGCCAGTCCTACAGATCGCAACCGCAGACCATCCAGCTCGAGAACACCACGGGAGAGACGGGTCGAGGGCCGAACCGTCAAGGCAGAACACCTCCACCAACTGGCCAGACCTCGGGAAAATGTGCCATTTCCAAGCCTGCTGCGCAATGGGACTCGGTGAGTATCTAACGGGCGACCCTAGCAGGCCCCTGGTATAACATAGTCGCCATTTAGCGGAGACGGCTCGGGCACCCGCTCTCACCAGACGATCAAAACCCAGAGACTGCCTGCATTGGAGGGTCGCTGGGCAATCATAACACATATGCTGCTTGGTCCCCCAGGGGTGCCCACAGACTTTACATCCCGACGAAATCGAGCGCTGACCCAGGTAAAGATCAACCTGGGCAGCCATTCCCCCCGAAGCCACTGCGGCCAAGAGGGAAGCTTCCAGACCTTGGCCCGAAGCGCGGAAATCTTGGCACACCTCCTGAAGGGGTTCCAAGCAAGGAAAAAAGGTGCTGTCACTACTCACTGCTTCGTCGTGGATGGTCAGGTCCCGAAGAAGCGCGCCCTTGGCGCCTGAATCCACGATGCTCTTGACCGCCCTAGCCCCGCACTCGCTGAGATCCAGAGAAAGCCCACTAGACGTCTCCCAACAATTCCAACGCATCGGGGACCAGCCGAGCCTTCCCAAGGTAGCCAGCACGGCCCCCGTGGGGCCTGTCACTTTCTGCCAACCCGTGCTCTCCTGACTCAACATATCGAACACTTGGGCCATGGCGTCTGCTGGGGCCCACCCATATCTAACCGCCGACGCCCAAGCCGCGAGGGGAGCGGAGTTGGCCACGTGAGCAGGATCTGCCAGAGGCGTGGGAGACAGCATGAAGCCGATGGCCCGACTCCTGCCCATGGCCGTCCCGAAGACCGACCCCCCCCCCCCACACCCCACCGACGCGCGCAACTGCTTGAGGATGCGGTCCGACACCCCAACGACCGAGGCCCCGCACAGTCCTGCAGGGCTGGCTCCTGCACGGACAATCCTCGTCAACTTGGCGAGAGACGATCGGAGACCTCTGAACCGATGTGCTCTCTTCCTAAGCTTGGCGACCCGGCCTCTCTGGATCGGGTTCTTGCGGGATCTCCCCATAGCGAAGTCGATCCCCAGGTTTCTCACCACCGACGCCCCAGAACCCCCACTTCCTCAAATCCTGGACGGCCCTCCGAAACACAGACTGGTGAGTGGAAACTATTCCCCAATCAGAGCTTGCCACTGTAGGTGTCCTAGCGGATTAAAGGATTAAGTGAGAAGTGCGGCCGATTTCGGCGGCCGGGCCCGGGTGCCCGGGGGGGCCCGGGTGCCCGGTGCGCGGCCGATCTCGGCGGCCGGGCCCGGGTGCCCGGGGGTGCCCAGGCGCCCGGGGGTACCCCGTAGCCCAATAGCCGAATATCCCAGTAGCCCAGTAGCCCTATTGCCCTATAGCCCGATAGCCCTATAGCCCGATAGCCCTATAGCCCTATAGCCCTATAGCCCTATAGCCCGATAGCTCCATAGCCCTATAGCCCGATAGCCCTATAGCCTCATAACCTTATAGCTTTATAGCCCTACAGCCCCATAGCCCCAACAAAAATATGATTGGGTTTTTCCTCCGGTGACATTTTTCCCTTGGCTCTGGCGAAGATCAGATCTAAGTCCCCCAGCAACCTTCACGTGTACTTCACGACCGTCGCGCAGATGCACAGACACGAACCTGACGCTGCCAGTGACCCTCAAAGTTATGTCATCTACGACATTGTACACATTACCGAACGGGAACCTGTGCACAACGCTTTCCAAGGTGCTCATCAACAACAACTTCAGTAGTGACGTTGCGAAAGCACAGCCAGCTACGATCGTCTGGCAGACCATAACAGGCAACGACGCAACTCTCCCCACTACCAAGAGCCTAGGGCCCCGATGTATGACAATCAAGATGCGCAAGATATCAAAGGGGAACTTCCAAGCGCGCGCTGCATCGATCAGTCGCCCGCGCAACACTCGCTCATAGGCTTTGGAAAGACCAAGCAGCCCCTCACCTGAACAAGAGTTGGTGAGACGGGCCCGTTCTGCAGCGAAAGCCTGTTCCCAGACTCCACGTTCAAAGGACATCCCCGCGCGCCCATAGAAGAAGGCGAGCTTGTTGGCAGTCCCCCAGTGTCTGGCAACCGAACGAGCGCATCCCCCCAAAACTCTGACAAACGTCGTCAATAGGCCGATGGGGCGGAAACCCCCTTCAGGTTTCTCCAGCATCGCTATCATGACGAGGGGGGCCTGGGACGGCAGCTTCCTCGTGTCCAGCATCCAGTGCCAGAGCAGACCGAGCACCGTAAGACATTGGCCTGAAAGCCATCACAGATCCCGCGGGCTCAACACGTCCGCGCCCGCAGCCGTCCGAGGCTTGAAGGTCCGAGCAACACGTCTTATATCATCTGCAGCAAATGGAGGGACGCCCGCGGCCTCCAGGGGGTCGATGCCTTCTTCGCGGAGCAGCTCAGAAATGACAGCTGCAGGGTCTGCCACTTCATCGCGAGGACCAGCTGGTTCCTCTGCGGGCGCGGGCACCCCCCAGATCTGGCCCCACTCCTGCTGCGACACATCTACCTGAGCTCCCAACCCCATCGGGGCCCCGTCGGGCCCAGCAGCCGCGGGTCTCCAGCCGACTGGGGACTTGGCGAATCGGCGTGCTTTGCCAGCCCCCTTGTCGCACGCATCTGCAACCCACTGCCTCCAAGCTGCTCCTCTGGCCCTCGTGAAGGCCTGCTCCAGCAAGGAGGCAATGTAGGCAGCCTCACTCGAATATTCATCCAACTGATCTGCTGACAGGGCCAAGGTGCCCTCGAAGTTCGGGCACCAACGCTTCCAAAAATCATCGTCCTCATCAAGCGGCTGACTGAAGACAAGCCTGGATACCAGCCCCATGCACTGTGTCGGAAAGATCTCATCCTCTCGCCGCACAACATAGGCCAGCTCCTGGAACCGAATCGAGACTTTGCGCCACCCACGGGCCTTCACACACGACAGTGCGTAAGGTCCCCCAGACGTCTGCAGCTCAGGGACCCCGCGCAGCCTCCAGCCATCGCCTCGCCCTCGATATCTGCCCTCATCGGCCCCCTGGAGCCCATGTGCAGCAATCAACTCAGTTTCAAGAAGCTGGTTAAAGCTGCGACATGTCTGGTCCAACTCTTTTTGCCCACAGCAAGCAGGGTTCGCTCCCCACCTCAGGATGGAATCCTCAACAGGTCCCCAGTCAGGTGGCGCTGGCAAGACGGCACGGACGAGCCTCTGCGGGGAACCTGCGGGGCCCCGCGAGCGCCAGATACTCTGCGCGAGCAAGACGCGACTTTAGCTCGAGAGCCCCAGGATAATGAGGTGTTATCGCCGTGTCCTTGACAACTGATACTGACTTGACAGATGGTGCAAGCCCTGGCGATACAACGAAATAATCCAGCTCCCTCCATACTTCCCCCTTCCTACAAGCGCCCCCCCCCCCCCCCCCCCCCCCTGCAGCTGCATGCGCCCCCCCCACACACACACACACACACACACACACACACACACACACCACACACACACACACACACAACACACACACACACACACACACACACACACACACACACACACACACACACACACACACACACACACACCACCCACCCCACACCACCCACCCCACCCCACCCACCCCCCCCACCCCACCCCACCCCACCCCACCCCACCCACCCACCCGCCCCACACCTTGCTCGCCCAGCCGAACTGCCTGAGCTGAGCAGGGGGGCAGTTCCAGTCTCCGCCCACAGTGAATGGTAAGCGGAGGGCGTGGAGCACTTCGCCCAGCCGAAAACGGATCTGCGATCCTATCTCTCCGAGGGGGTCTCCAGTCGGAAGATACAGCGACACGGCCAAAAAACCTCTCGGCACGATGCTTCTGATCCAAGCCATTGCTACTCTGTGCGCCGCGGGCAAGGCTGGGCCCTCCCACGGCGACAATGGCATGCCAATATGCGTCGGAACTGCAATCCCCACTCCAGATGACAACCCCCCAGCCTCAGCGGGACGACTAGGGCTGGGCATCGTCGAGAATGCCCACCTCCTCAACTTCGCCTCACATTCATCCTTGGCCAGAGGGGAAACTCCTACCTCCTGCAACAAAACAGCGGCCGCACCTGGGGCATCCTTTTCCACGAACTTCTGGCAGCTACTCCAGTCGGAAGCGTTGGCCGTGAGCACGGTCACGACCGCGTCCTCTTCCCCTGAGCCTGCATCACCCCCGCGACGGAGGGCCTCCACCTCCTCCTCCTCCCGCGGCGGACCCCGTGGCCCCCGCGCCTGAGCCTCCTGGCGCTGCGGGTGCTGCTGCTGCCGCCGCCGCTCCTCCTCCTCCAGCTGCCCCAGCTGCTCCTCCGCCCTTCCCTCCACCCCCCTTGCCCTTCGGCCCCTTGGAGGCCACCGCACGAGCGGCCTGAAAGAGCTCCTCAGTGGACTTGGGGGGGGGCTGGGCTGTGAGCCTCTGTTGCTGCTGCAGGTTATGGTGCTGCTGCGGCTGGCTGCTGCTGCTGCTGCTGTGGCTGACCCCCCAGGAGGTGCCCCAGCAACCCCAGTATAAGCGTTACCCCCCAGCAGTCGCACCCTCATCCGTTTTACGCTTCTTCGCCGCCAGCCTAGCGATGAGTTCACGCTGCTTAGTGATCTCCGCTTGGGCTCGCTCACGAAACGAGCCGAGTGCCTGGACAGCTGCTGCCTGGAACGCCGAGACCAGGGACTCCTTCCTCCTCTTTGCCTCCTCCTTCTCCTCAGCCGACGGCTCCCACCCTTCCTCCTCCAGGCCAGAAAGCCCATCATCATCCAACAGGAGACCCTCAAGACCTTCGTCCATGAGTTTCGCCAGGGATACGAAAGGCTTAGCTGACTGGGCGGACTGGGGCCGCTGCTGAGGCTGGACGGTGGGAGCAAACTCACGAACAGCAGCTGCATACCTCTCCTTAGCTGACTCCAGGGCCTGGAAAGCTGAGACACTATCCTGCTTAGCCTGGTCCCACTGGGCCTCCAGGTTGTTGGCACGTGTAACTGCTTTGCCCAGGGCTGCCTGGCAACGCTCCATCTCCTGCTTCGCGGGCCCCCACTGCAACTTGGGCGGCGTCTCGAGGGCGCGAAGTTTCTCCTTACACTTACTGGCTGCCTCGACGTCAGAATTGGCCTCAAGGAACTTGATGGCTGACTGAAGTCCCACCAGCCCTCTGGGCGTAGGTGGTCTAGAGCAGATCCTCTTCCACCCCTCCCTCTTCCCCCTTGGGGAGGGGTTTACCCCTCCCCCTACCCCCTCCCCTGGACCTGGACGGGGGGGGCCGCGGGTAGTTAGAGCGTCCCAGATGGCCCAAGACGGCTCCAAGAGCGCCTCAGAGAACCCAAGATGAGCTCCAAGATGGCTCAAGATAGCGCAAGATCGCTCGAGATGGCTCCTAAGATGGTTCCAAGAAGCCCAAAGACGGCCCCAAGATAACTCCAAGTGGCCAAACAGCTCCCCAAGGAGGCCCCGAAGAGGCCAAAATCGTCCCAAAACCTAAGGAAAATCAATGATTTTTGCTTTCTCGCCTTTTCGCTTCCGATGGCCATCCGAGGCCTGGAGATGGCTCCAAGATGGCCCAAGAGGGCCCCAAGAGAGCCCCAAAAGAGCCCCAAGACGGCCCCAAGAGCGCCCAAGAGCACTCCAAGAGCGTTCCAAGAGGGGTCCAAGAGGCGATTTTAGGGGCTTCCGAGGGGGGGCGCTAATTCACCCCCCCCTCTTGTTTGATCGACTCCCTCCAAGATGGCCCCAAGAAGCGCCCAGGAAGCCCCAAGAGGTCCCAAGATGGCCCCAAAATGGCCCCAAGAGGCCCCCAAGAGGCCCCCCGGAGGCCCCCAAGAGACCCCCAAGAGGCCCCAAGAGCCCCCCCAGATGCACCCAAGATGCTCCAAGAGGCCTCGGCGAGAATGCCTAATCATTGATTCTACACAGGTTTTAGCCACATGGAGGCCTCTTGGGGGGGGGCACGGATTAAGATGACTCCAAGAGCGTCTGGGAGAGCCCAAAATGACCTCCAAGATGGCTCAAGATATCCCAAGATGTCTCATAATGGCTTCCTCTGTGTGCTGCCCACTTCTCTGATCGAGGCAATTCCTCTGGGCATCGTTTCTGGATGGGCTGGTGGGGATTCGCGAAGCGACAACAATTCCTCCTTGGTACTCCCCTTAGTTCCCGTGGAGGAGGCTGGGACGGACCAGGAACCAGGAGGCTGCACAGTACACCCAGAACCAGGAGGAGCAAACTGACTGTCACCCCACACCCCACTGGTACCCTTCTGGACAAATTGCACATCCCCGATGCCTGACCACTGGCGACCGCAGTTTTTACACCACGTCCACCAATACTTGTTCGCCTTGTACCCGCATCCTCCACAAACCCAATTCCCGACACGATAACCATGCGCTGGCATCGCGCGCCCCCGCGCGCCGACCGAAGGGATGGGACCGCGGCCCCCCACGCAGCACACTGGCCACCTCGAGCCGAGGTTGGGAAGTTCAGGAGCAGGCCCCTTGAGCCAAAATGGCTACGGCCCTCCTCGTCCTCCTCCTCCTCCTCCTCCTCCTCCTCCTCCTCCTCCTCCTCCTCCTCCCTCCTCCTCCTCCTCCTCCTCCTCCTCCTCCTCCTCCTCCTCCTCCTCCTCCTCCTCCTCCTCCTCCTCCTCCTCCTCCTCCTCCTCCTCCTCGTCTCCCTGGCCAGGAGCCCATCCTGAGCCGTAGGATCGGGGCACGCGCCCTTGCTGGGCCCTGCAGCCCCGCAGGGGAGGGCGTGCGCTCGCCGACCCCGTGGGGGCGCAGGGCGGGCCCACAGGCCAGGATCGGCGGGGGCCGGTCGGCGGACTGCCCCCCGAGGATGACGAGGTTGCGGACGAGAGCCCGGGTGCTGGTGACCGCATGGGGCAGGTCCCGCGCCACTGGCAGCGCGACGTCCACGCCGTGCAGCGGCTCCCGGACCACGCCCGAGTAGCAGGACGTGGTCGCGGCGTTGGGCAGTCCCGGGCGCACGACGACCGTGGGCAGCCGCGCCGAGCGGCCGTCGACGAAGCCCTTGCGGGTGTAGTCGTTGACCAGCAGCTCCCCGCACGCCTTCGTCATGCCGTACGTGTTCTTGGGGACGATCTTGTCGGTGTCCCTGGTCGGCCCGCCGTCGTAGGTCTCCCCGAAGACGGCCAGGGAGGAGCAGAACACGAAGACGGGCCGCGGCCCAGCGCGCTGGCGGCAGGCCTCCAGCATGTGTCGGGGCGGAAGAAAGATGGGGAAGTGGCAAAGGGGGGGTGGCGAATCTGATGGGCAACTTGTCCACCACCACTACCATGTGTAGGTCGGGGAAAAGAGAGGAGGAGGAGGAGGGGGAGGAGGAGGAGGAGGAGGAGGAGGAGGAGGAAGAAATCCTCCTCCTCTTGAGCAGGGACCGACCGTCCCGGCATTCCTAGTCCTACCACGAAGTGTTCTTAGAACCCAAAAATGTTCCAAGAACAAAAACAAGGTTCTTAGAGCATAAACCCGATGTGATAAAACAAGACGGACTGCGCCAGAAATGTCCTAACATTTCGTGGGAACCACAAAAGGTTCTTAGAACATCGTTTGGTAGGGCTATAGGCGAGACAGGACGCTTCGCCACTGCTTAATCCTCCTCCTCCACCACCTCCTCCTCCTCCACCTCCTCCTCCTCCCTCTCCTACACATGGTAGTGGCTATGGACAATGGGCCCATCAGAATCAGCTCACGTTGCTGGCCGTCCCGGCGCTTCCTGGCGCCCGAGGCGGCCATGTGTGTACCGAGGAGAGCGCCCGGCGGCTGGGCCGACACCGCCTGCATGCAACAGTTTTCGTACCTCCCCCTTTCCCATCATCCCACGCCCCGCTCGTCCGCCCCGAATGTGGCGGGTGCCGTCCAGGTTCACCCGCAAGCCCGTGTCGAAGTCCTTCTCGGCCTGGCCGCTCATCACCCCGGCCATGTGAAAAACGGACAGCGGCCCCTCCCCGGCCTCGCACACCAGGGCCCGGCACACCGCGGGGTCCGTGATGTCGCCAGCCCTGCTCTCGACCCGGGGGTCTGCGATCAGGAGAAGAAGGAGCGACACAGACTTGGACCGTCGGAGCTCCGCTTAGGTCGGGCATGTCCCCTGCAGGCGGATGTGGGAGGAAAAATTGGAAAAAAGATATTCAAACATTGCTCAAAAAATGACAGAAATGAAAGACAAATCGTCCCTAAACTATGTTTGTACTAGTTTTGAATATTTCTTCTAAGAAGGGACATGCCCCACTTAAAGCTCCGCGCTGACTTCTTGGATCGGCGCTGGACCCCCTACCCGCCGCCCTGGCGACCAGAGCCTCAACGGGGGGCAGTGCCAGAGGCGCCAAGAGCGCCGACCCAAGCAACCCGCGCCGAGCTCCGAAAGCCGATCCCCGAGATCCGCCGTTGCGGCGAGCATGCAATACCGCGGAAAATCACGTCCGGAGCCCTAGGCCCCATCTTGCAGCAGTTTTCGATACGGATCGAGCGAAAAAAACATGCGAGAGCGCCCGGTGTGAAAGAATTGGCGGCGCGCACAAGGGGGTAGGGGGAGAGGGGAAGGCTTCTGAGAAGGAGGCTGCTTCTTGGAGGGCGCGGGCCTGAGGAGCAGGGGTGCTTCTGAGAAGCCTTCCCCCCTTACCCCTGCCCTCTTTGCGCGTGGCCGAAGGCATACGAGGTCTCCCAGATGGGGTCCGAGTAGATGGGATCGGAGAACCTCGCCGCACCGCCGATACAGCGGCGATGCATCGCAGATGCATCGCCGATGCGTCGCCGATGCAGCGGCGGTGCACTGGCGACGTCGGCAGTGCCTCGGCGACGTTGGCGTGGAGAAAATTGGGCCCCAGATCGAGCCGCATCGCCGATGCGCCGCCGATGCACTGGCGATGCGGCGCGATCGTCCGACCCCATCTACTCCGACCCCATCCAGGTCGCCTCGGATCGGTCTCCTTCTCGAGCTGTGGTTAAAAACGCAGTCTCGCTCTGCAATCGCTTCTGCTACGTCAAACTCCGTCGACTCGGAAAATCTCGAGGTTAGCTCCAGAGCTGTGGATCAAACCGATAGGTCCAGCAGCCTCGAAAAAAGCCTCGAGCGCGCTAATACCAAAACACTTATGACACCGGAGAAAAAAAACAATCAGGGCTATAGGGCTATAGGGCTATTGGGCTATACGGCTATACGGCTATAGGGCTATAGGGCTATAGGGCACCCCCGGGCACCCGGGCACCCCCGGGCACGCCCGGGCACGCCCGGGCACCCCCGGGCACCCGGGCACCCGGGCGTGCAGCGAAAATCGGCGGCAAACCTAACCTAACCATATGAATCCGCTAGGACCCCTACAGAGGCAAGCTCTGATTGGGGAATCTCACTCAGCAGCGCCCAGATCTCAGGGCTGCCCGTGCCCTTCCTCCTTCTTCGGGCGATGGCCTCGCCGGCTCCGCCCGCGGGCAGGGCGACGTCGAACAGCACGATGCGCTCGATCTCCGCGGCCCCGCCGCCGGCGGCCCGCGGCCCCTCCCCGCGCAGCAGCGCGCGGCACAGCTCGCGGCCCAGGAAGCCCTGGCCGCCGGTGATCACGACGCGCATGGGCTTCCCCCAGGCGTGGGGTCGTCCACGTCCTCGTCCTAGGCCTCGCCCCTCGCCCTCGTCCTCCTCCTCCTCCTCCTCCTCCTCCTCCTCCTCCTCCTCCTCCTCCTCCTCCTCCTCCTCCTCCTCCTACTCCTCCTCCTCTTCCTCATCCCTCTTTGCGTTGGGCAAAAGTCCGTGACGGAGCTGTTGCGTTTCTGTGGCGACAGAAGGTGAAATGCCGACTTGGGCACGGTGGCGTACACTGGGGCCTCGGCGTGCAGCGGCGCAAAAAGACTGGGTGCGAGATGAAGAAGAGCATGATAACCCGCTAGGGTGCAAAGTGTGCGTGGCGAAGTCCCTTCTCCTCCTCCGCCTCCTCCTCCTCCCCTATTCCTTCCCCATAAAGAATTCCTCCCTGTCGTGATCCCCTGACGTGTCGGCAGGGCGGGCCGGGCGTTTCGCCTAAGACCTCCCACCATGAATGATCCTGAAGCTTGAAACTACAGCTGCTTCAAGGGTGGAGGGAGACTGGTTTTCAAGACGTGGCTCTCGCCTTAGCGCCGCGCACATTCGTCTTAGCAGTTTGCAACACATTCGAAGATTGAAGGCAAACAAATGGTTTCGCCTCAGCGCCGCGCGCAATCGAGCAACAACAAAACGAAGGTTTCAAAGATGAACGGCGGTTCCTTCTCAAAAGGTGGCTCTCGCCAGAGCTCCGCGCACATACTATTTGACAGTGTACAACAACTTCAAGAATCCGTATGGTGGAAATCCGAGGCATGGTGTACTGTCACGATCTAAGATTCTCAAGACGCAACAGTAACGTTGATTCGCGATGTTGAAGTCCCAGTATGTGTCAGGAAGCAACATTCACATTGATTCACTGTGTCGAAGCCGCAGGAATTGCGTTTTGGTAGGAGTTCGGATTGCCAGGGTGCAACAGTCACGTTGATTCAAAGCGTTGACGCCCCAGGAATGGTGCTCTGGCCTCTGGCACGATTGCGGATTTTCCCAATGAGGCGCTTCCCCACCGAAAACACATTCTTGTAGGGAACTACGAAAGAGGACCTTGGACGAATTTTACTGCAAGATCGTTGAAGCCTCCTCCTACTCCTCCTCCTCCTGGCCGATGGTCCTACGAAGTCACCTCGTGCGTCGGCTATCCCTGAGACGTTTGGTCAGATATGCCGCAGCACACTCGTCATCGCTTTGCCCCTGCTTGAGTGAACGAGCAATATGTTATGTGGTCTTGTGCGGTCGAGCTCATGATGATGTCCCGTGCCTGGCCTGTCATTGCCGAGCCATGTCGGTTCTGGGGGCAGAGGAACCGCGCTGCAGAGGAAGGATACCTCCTTGTCTAAACGCGGTTCGCCCAAAGCTTTCGCTGTCCGGCATTGGCTGCCTGGCCTTATGTGGCTACTCGCGTCTATGAGTATTGGAAGCTCCTGAAGGTCCCTTTCCAGTGGCCTCGCTCAGAGGCTTCGGGATGGTTTAGTGGAATTGGCTTCCCAGGTCAGCACTCATGCAGAGACCCTCAAGGACACTGCTTGGGTTTACAATCGTGACGCTGCTAGACTTATGGTGGATCGTGGTTCTGATAGTTGCGCACATACGTGGTCACAAGTGTGTATGAGCAAACTCGCAAGAGTACGCGCGATTGGTTGAAGCAGGCTCTCCCTCGCGAGGCTCAACAAACGCATGCAGACTTCAAGGCTGGAGATAAAGTACATATAGCATAGTTTGACACTGACTCAGGAGTCGTCAACGAACCAAGCTCGATGATCAACCATCGTGAACAATGTTGGTCTTCTTGGTGGGCACCTGATCCAATTGCCCGACAATGCTTGAATGCTGGTGTGTCCGAACTTCGCGCGCTAACCCAAATTGCCCTGTTAGATAGTGAACCGCTAGAGCTCAGGGGATATCTCACGTGCGTGTGTTCGTTGTCTGGGTGCACTGCTGTTGGGGCCGACCAGTGGCCACGCAGGTTTCTTCTTTCCTCGCCAGCGCCTGTCTTGGATGAAGGGGCCCTGGGACACACAAATAAATACGCACACATAAAAAGATTCCCCACATTGTTCCATATGGCATGGGCGTTTTGGTTTCCCCCCCCCCACACTGCCCATTGTTTCTCAGATGTTCTGTGGGATCGACGATGAATTGTGTCTGCGTGCTTCTTCCCCTCCCGATTGGAGCAGCGCACAGATGCATCGCTGGCGTCGAGGAGGCCTTGACCTTCCCGCACCAGTGCCTCTCTGCATCCTGGATACGCTGCCCAAGCCCATCAAAGGAGGAGAGCGCGATCACGAGGTACCCGACGCCCGTGGCTTTGACGTCGGCTCTTGGGGTAGCGACCACCTGGAGTTCTGGCATATCGTGACGAAAGACTCTTCGGCCTTGAAGGCCCGCTTGCTCGAGGAAACGTGTTACGAGGTAGCTCTCTCGTCTGGCATGGCTGCCGTCTCGGCCAACTGGGACACGGAGAAGTTCCTCAACCCTGTGCCTCCCACAGGATTATGCATTTGGCGATTGAGCACCGCTACCCTGCCCACCTACTGCACCTCGGCTTGCTGGCACGTACTTCCCCGAGGTCTCTGGAAGTGTCCAGCATGCTATCGGGGGTTTTCGTGGCCGAGGACTCTATATTAGCGGGGCGTGGTCAGAGTATGCCATGGGCGAAATGTAAGTTATATGATGCATCGGGGAGCGCCCACTCTAGGATCCCCGAAGGCCCTGGACTGAGCCCCCATGTTCGTACCCCTGTCAGGTCGCATGTGGACAACATCACAAAGCACATGCATGGCACCCATTCTTGCCTCGCGGAACATTTCCCGTAGGCTGTTGCCGCCTTCCGTGATGATGTGATCGAGCTGGCGTGTTTCGAGTTTGTGGCGATGGCCTCCAGCAAGGACGTGGAGCGGCTGTTGAGGCCCCTTTTCTGATGAGTTCGAGCTGGACCTGACCTTCGCTGCCTCGGTGAAGGATCTAGGCACCGTCCCGACTCTGAATAAGCCACGCCTGACGTGGAAGCTGAAGCTCGAAAGGGGCGCTGCGTTCAGAGGTCTAGGAAGCTTACGTACCTGGCCCAACTTTGTGGTAGATCCTGGAAAATATTCAACCCTGGGGCATTATCCGTGGGATCCTGAGGGCATCCTGTCTTGGGCCACCCGTACTGGGAGCTTCAGAAGGTCCGTGCGTCAGCTGCGTCGCGTTCGGGTTTCAGGAGTTCCGCAGCGCGTGCTACGACAAGGTTGCAAATACTCGATGACCTTGAAGATGATCCCGTGTACCGGCTGGATATTGAGCAGTTCACAGCACTGTCTGATGTGTGGCCTGCCCTCTCAGAATGAAGTCGCACTGATGCACGTCGAGCTTGGTCTCGTATGCGTGAAGATTTCGACCAGAAGAACATTTCCGATAGATGGCAAATGGTTAAAGGACTAGTGCGGCCGTATACGCCACTCTTCTGGATCTGGGTTGGATCCCGTGCGCCGTCGACCGTTGGGAGGTCCCCTGGTACCCGGACCTTCCGATCACCGATCCCGATTTCAGATGCCACCTGGTGATATGTGTGCAACGAAGCGTGTTTCCGTCGTCTGGTCGAAAGCCTCTGAGCACTACACTACTGTGCTCGTGATGTTGAACATGGTTTTTTTTTCTGCGCCACGGCAATGCGCAGAAGAAATCAGAAAACGGCGCCGGCGCGCGCGCGCTCCCCCCACGCAGACCAGCCTCGGACGAACCGGCAACTGGCTGCTAAGGGGGGCGGCGCGGAAGAGCTCAAGCAACGGCGGGCTGGGGGGCTCTCAGGCTTCTTGGAGCCCCTGCGCAAGGCGGTCGACACTCCTTGGTCGAGCAGTCCGCACTCCGCCGCGGCAAGGGGGGGGTTGACCATCCGAGGGGAGCTCCCACCTGCCGCGCGGGGTGCCGCGCACCCGCGGCGGCAGCGCTCGCCTTCTCGGGGCCCCCTCCCTCGCCAGACGGCGAGTGACCCAAACACTTGCATCACACCGAACGTCTGCGAGCGCTGGGTGGCGGCGGGCCAGCACACGCAGACGGGCTTCAAACACCTGTTCAGCAGCGGCAGAGCGCCCAACTCGACGGGCGTTCAGGGGCGCAAGAAAGGCTTCCATGCAGGAAGCACGACGGAGGAGACCAGCAACATCGTCAAATGCGAGGAGGAGGCAAGAGGGAAACCAATGGAATGAGCGCTCACCTTGATAGACTCGAATATGTCTCCCCATCCATCTCCTGAGAAGTGATTCCAGCTTCGGACAAGAAGAACAATGGCGAAGCGAATCGTTGTCGACTCCGTCGACGGTCTGGCACCCGAATAGACACCCTCTTGGGGTTGAGTGAAATCGGGAGCTCGCGCAGATAGATCCAGTCAGCAAACGAAAGGGAGCCATGCCAACATACATACTCGTTGCTTTGCACACTCTTTTTATGTTCTCCTTCAGGATGACGATATGCTCACGGGTGACCTCAGGTCAAAAGAGTGGTGGGCACGCCGAAGGAGGATGGACTCGATACTCTCACTGGTCTCTAGCTCTCGAAACGCCCGATAGAGTCGACGTTGTAACTTGCTCGAAGAGGAAGGGATGTCAAGGGAGAGCCCGCAATACCACATTTTGACCGCCCTCAAATACCCCAATAGGACTTCAGCATTCCATCCACGAAGCCACCTATACGGAATGCGTTCGACGTCTGAACGAGAGGCCTCCAGCGAATCCAGAAGCCCAAAGATCCACCCAGATCTCAAGAGATACCGAAGGGCAGTGGCTTTCGCGACCGCGTCGAGCTCCAGGAATTCAGTGGCGAATCCGATGCGGGTAAGTTTCGTGGCGACGTTGTAGGAGATGGCGTTCCTGGGCCCCGAGGTGAGGAGGAGCACTCCGTTGCGGCAGGCGGACACCAGCTCCTGGGAGGGCGGGTAGAGCTGAAGCCTGAACAGGAGCTTGCTAACACACATAACCTGAAAGGCAGCCGCGGACTGAGCAATTCCCAATCCCAATGCACGTGTCTGGTGAATCCTCGCAACAAAGCTGGGGAGGATGGGGGACCATACCTGCGCGGCGCCCTCGCGGCCGATCGGGAAGCCAAGGTAGGTGGCGGAGAGGGAGCTCGTGATGTTGAACATGGGGTTGAAAGGACTGTCTTCCGCAGGCTTCACAGGAGTCTCTTGAAGGATGGCGATTACCAGCGTACCACGTGGTATCCGCCGTTGCTGAAGCATGTTGGCCCAAAGGTCGACTGAATGACTCTGGATATGCTACTAATGGCAAGTGGCCCTGTTGTGCTGACGAGGAGGATACGTATCCCCGTTGCTGGACATGCCCTAGCAATGAATACATAGCTAGCACTGCCGTGCTCAGTATCTCCCATCTCCTCCCTCGTGCTGCTGCTGCCGAACCCGATGCTGCCCTGTGGACTCGTGGGCTCTCACCGTTGTCGCTTCGAGTCCAAGATGCGTTCATTTATATGACCAAGTCCCTCAGGCAGAGAATGTACCCAAACACGAGGTTGAGGGAGGAATGTCCAATGGATTATCCCCCCCCCCCGCGTCCGCCCTCCCCCCCCTGGGCGCCCGCCCGAGCGTGGTGGCGGAATCGCGCGGCAACGCCACTGGTAGATTGTCTCTTTCCGTTTCACTATCATCATCATCATCATCATCATCATCATCATCATCATCATCATCATCATCATCATCATCATCATCATCATCATCATCAGCATCAGCATCAGCATCAGCATCATCATCATCATCAGCATCATCATCAGCATCATCATCATCATCAGCATCATCATCATCATCATCATCAGCATCATCATCATCATCATCATCAGCAGCAGCAGCAGCGTCCGTCTCCCCACCTTCTTCCTTATCCTCACCCTTATCGTATTCCTGCCTCTTCCTCGTCCCCCTCCCTCCTTCTCCTTCCTCCTCCTCCCTCCGCGCCCCTCATTCTTACCTTCCCTTATCCTCCTGCTCCGCCTCCTCCCCACTAGCATCAATCCTCATCCTCCCCCTCCTCCCTCCCCATCATCCTACTCATCCTCCGCCTCCTCCCCCATCCCCCTCTTCTCTCTCTCTCCTGGTCCTCCTCCAGTCTCCAGATCGTCCGGCTAGAGACTTGCGGGCCGACCCTTGAGCGCGAACGGCAGTGAACGACGACGACGGTTCCAACGGCCCTGACAATAGTGGCCACTGTAATACCACCGCTGACACCGTGACCAGAACCACCACCACAGCAGTCACCATCAACACCGCCGCCATGTCTACTACCACCTCTGCTGCCAGCAACACGAAACAGGGTGAAGCACCGACTCGGCTCGCGTATCAGCGAGGCATTTCGTGATGAGGGGCACTGAAAAGAACATGCCACTTGGGGGCAGGTCTCGGAAGAGGGATCTAGAATTCACCTGGGAGGGGGGGACTGAAAGGGGGCTCGTTCACTCCGCCAAGTACTTGGGCCGGGGCTTGGGCTGTCTACTTGCCAAAAAGGAATGGCTTGAACTCTGCGGGGACCCCGACCTTCATAGGAAGGAGGCCCAGGGCACCCACCAGAAACGCCAGGTACTGTCCTCGCGGTTGCTTAGTTGTTAAGGCCAGTAAGACGCTGGAAGGGTTGGGGCGATACTGAAGCAAACAATGATAGCACATTCGACAAACCTCACAGGTGAACACAAAATGAAGGAAACCAAAAGGAGAAAGACCACACATGGGCAAGAGGAGGAGTGTGATAAAGGAGGAGGGCGGGAGACAGAGGAACGGGTACAAGGACGAGGACGAGGAACGATGAAAAGGACGAGGATCAAAAATCAAGGATGAGCATGTGGATGAAGATTAAGGTCAGGGATGGGAAAACGGCGAAGACCGCCATCGACGCCCGAAGCGCCGCCTTCCGCTCCTGGTCCTGCAGATCGTTGATGTTGGTTTTGCACTCATCCTGCGGGGAGGAGGGGCGGGACCACGGGGGTGGCGAGGCCGCCACCAGCAGGGGAGGCCATGGCGAACCCAATCCCCAGCTCCGTGGGACTCTCGACCAAACCAACAGCAAGTGCAGTTGGGGCCCAGCTCGGGGATGGACGATGAGGGGGGTCCATCCCCGACAGGGGGCGCTCCCGAGGATCACCCCGGAGGGGCGCATCCCCCCCAAGCCCCTCCTCCTCTGAGCGGCCAGCTCGACAAGGGGAAGGAACTCGGGGACGGGGGCCGCGAAAATCGCCTGCGATCCCTCCGCCTCCTCCTCCTCCCACCCCCCTCCTGGCGCATGGCTCGTCTTCGCCGCGCCTCCTCCTCCTCCTCCTCCTCCTCCTCCTCCTCCTCCTCCTCCTCCTCCTCCTCCTCCTCCTCCTCCTCCTCCTCCTCCTCCTCCTCCTCCTCCTCCTCCTCCTCCTCCTCCTCCTCCTCCTCCTCCTCCTCCTCCTCCTCCTCCTCCCTCCTCCTCCTCCTCCTCCTCCTCCTCCCTCCTCCTCCTCCTCCTCCTCCTCCTCCTCCTCCTCCTCTCCTCCTCCTCCTCCTCCTCCTCCTCCTCCTCCTCCTCCTCCTCCTCCTCCTCCTCCTCCTCCTCCTCCCTCCTCCTCCTCCTCCTCCTCCTCCTCCTCCTCCTCCTCCTCCTCCTCCTCCTCCTCCTCCTCCTCCTCCTCCTCCTCCTCCTCCTCCTCCTCCTCCTCCTCCTCCTCCTCCTCCTCCTCCTCCTCCTCCTCCTCCTCCTCCTCCTCCTCCTCCTCCTCCTCCCTCCTCCTCCTCCCTCCTCCTCCTCCTCCTCCTCCTCCGCCCCCCCCCCTCCCTCCGCAGCAGCAGCGCCCTCCGCCCGACGCCGACCTCGACCCAGGACGGGGCGCGCCGGCCACGCGCGGCCGGCTCCCGGCAGTTGCCTGCCGCACGGCGAGGTCAGCCGGGGCCCCGTCGCGAGCCCCCGCCGCCCGCCGAGGAGCTCCCAAGACCAGGGCCACAGGGGGGCGGAGATGGGCGCCAAGGGTCCGCCGGGAAGGAATCACGGACCACTGCCAGCGTTAGGTTAGGGCAGGCATGTTCTCCTACAGGCGAACCTTGGACGAAACATCAAGAATACGCAAAAATAATTTAAAAACAAAAAAATCGAAAATTGTCAACGTCGTCCCAAAACAACATGTTTGTTTCAACCTGTTTTTGAATCTTCCTCTTGTAGAAGGACTGGCCCGACACGGTGCTAGCGCTGGCCCCCGCCCCGTGCGCCCCAACGGCAGACGTGCGGGCGGAAGGCCAGGGCCGGTGGGACGAGGCAGGCGGGCGGGCAGGCGGGGAGGGACGGGGAAGACGGCGAGCAGGGAGCAGGAGGGGGGGGGGGGGCGAGAGAGAACGAGGGGAATGAGGAGGAGGAGGAGGAGGAGGAGGGAGGAGGAGGGGGATGAGGAAGAGGAGGAGGGGGAGGAGGAGGAGGGAGGAGGAGGAGGAGGGATGAGGAGAGGGAGGAGAGGAGGAACGGGGAGGGGGGAGGAGGAGGAGGAGGAGGAGGAGAGGAGGAGGAGGAGGAGGAGGAGGAGGAAAGGGAGGCACGAAGCACGAAGCACGCCCGCCCGTGGGCACCGTTCAGGGTCTAGGGTGCTGCGGGTGCGGCGCCGGAGCGCCGGAGCGTCAGAAAGCGAGGCCCCGTCAGAAGTCCGGTTCGGTCTCGTTCCAAAACGCCTTTGTGGCAACTTCCAGGACATCTTGCCCGTGGGGCTGAAAATATTGCCCTAGAGGCCGGAGGTCGACAGGTGGAGGCCGAAAGCAGGAAGCTGGAGGGAAAGGGAACTAGGACTCCCAACTTCGCGCTCCGCGTTCCGCGAAGCGCGAATAACTTCGCGCTCTCGCGCCGCCCCCCCAAAGAGGAAAAATGAGGACGAGGAGGAGGGGGAGAAGGAACGAGGACCGCGAAGCGCGAAGCGCGAATGACTTCGCGCCCTGGTGGGAGCCCGAAGGACACACAAGCAGACAGGCCGGTCCACGAGCGAGGATAGAAAGGCCTCCTCCGCGTCCAGTGGCCCTCCCCCTTGCTGTCCTTAAGTCGGGCGTCCCCCTACAGAGGGATTTTCGACGAAAAATGAAAAATACTCAAAAAATACTCCATGGTTAAAAAATACTCCAAAAAAAAGTCCCCGCACTATTTTTTGACTATTTTTGAATACTCCTCCTGTAGAGGGACGGGCCCGACTTAACGATATCCCCGCGTACCCTCCTTCCTTGCCTGGCTCTCAAGTCCTCGAGGCTGGCCAGGTAGGTGGTCGACTGCTTCACCTGTGGAATTTGGAGCAGGGCGCACACTGTCTTGAGCCTCACCGAGAGTGGCCGATATGATGGACATCATTGAAGGGGCCCCAGGACACACAAATAAATACACACAAACAAAAATATTCCCCATATTTTCCAATATTTTCTGGGTTTCTGTCTTCCCAACCACTTCCGATAATTTCCCATATTTTCTGGGGAATCGAGAATTAATTGTGTCTGTGTGTTTCTTTTCCTCCTGAATCATCTTCGTCTTCGCTGGGACGTGCACGCATGCAAGTACATACTCACACATTCATGTGTGCTCACGGGTCGCCAGTGCGACGTCATCGAGCTTCAGCTCGGCATCCATCGACGCCAGCCCTGATGGATGCACACTGTGTGGATGCGTCCCGGTGAGAACTGGGAAAGGAGTGCGCAGTCGGCGCGAACAGTGTTTCGTAGAAGGGAAGGACTGTAGTTGGAAACATCATGCTGTTCCCTTGTTCCCTCTCGCCCTCCTCCCATCCATGCCTCTCTCCCTCAGTACCTCCCTGCATCTATCCTATCTGCCTCCCTCCATCCTCCCTCCATCCTCCCTCCTTTCTCTTTTGTCCATCCGTGCCACAAGTCCAGTCAATGACTTACCAGCCGCTGTATCGAACTGCCGATCGAAGTTCTGTCAGAAGGCTTAGGAAATGCCCGACGGAGGCTGGCGGTTCTGAGTTATCGCTGAAGCAGAAGCGTATTCCCCACCATCAGCATGGCGAGGCAGCAACCACATAAAAAAGAAGGTGAGCGGTTTCTTATTCGGCGTTTCGACTTTGGGCGGAAAAGGGGGCGAGGGGGGATCTGGCTCCAGACCTCTGCTTAGTGCGACTATGTGCAGCAGTGCGTCCATTATGGGGGAGGCTCCACCTGCTCGAAACAGGCGCCAGCAATAGCCAACAGCCAAACTCTACTCCAGGGGTGGGGGAGAGGGGGTGCGAGGGCCCGCGCCGATCGGCAAAACAACGAATAAAACAACGAACACAAGTCTCTCCCTCTCCACCAGAGCGTCGAAACCTGAGCCTATGACGCTGCGCTGCCGTGCTTCCATGGCCCAGCACATGCCGACGTGGCGCAGTGGACAAGAGAGCTGGGGGGCACGCGCTGCCCTGCCTCACGTGTGCAACCCGTCGGAACATCCGCCGACCCCTTGTGGGTCTCTGGGCGTGTGAGACTGTTGCCCCCCCATGACCCATACCCCCCCCCCAAGGACCCCAAACCGGAGATTTGCCCCCCCCCCCCCCCCCCCCCCCCCCCCCGGCCTCCGACGAACGCGTCATGGGAGCATAGAGGGCCCTAAAACGGGCCAAGAGGGCCCCAAATGGGCCCCAAGACGATCCAAGAGGGCCCCGAATCGTCGAATGATCGTTCCAAGGCGCCCAAGCCAAGATGGCATCCAGACGGCCCAAGATGCCTCCAAAACACCCCAAGAGACCTCCAAGAGGCACATTTCCAGCCTTCGGCGCCAGGACGCCCCCAGGTTGCCTCAAGAAGCCTCCAACGCGCCCCAAGAAGACCCCAGGGAGCCCGAATAGGGCCCTCAAACGCCCCCCAAGAACCTCCCAGGAATCGGACAAGCCTCGTGGAATGGAGTCCTGGACGCGCAGTAGTTTATAGAGGGGTCGGCGCATGTGGCGTAAGCCTATAGAATCGACAACACGCTTGCGCGCAACAGGCTCACACGCGAGAATTTGATGCCCTAACGGGCGATGGTGGCAACCAAGGCGAAATGCTGGTCTCCCGGCCGAGGCTTCGCAAAACTCGGAGCATCCGTGGCACATCTGGATGTGTATGGGCATGAAACAGGTGAGGTCGGCTAGAAATCGATAGCCATCCAAACTCGCGCATGAATTGAACGCGACAACGTCGAGCAGTGAGGACGCTTCGGCCTGCCAGGTACCGAAGTGGCACGCGGGAGGGCGAAACACGAGCAGCCGGGCACGCAAATAGTTCATCTTGGCCCAGGCTGCGAAAAAAAACAGCATGCCCGGATTCTCGAACGGACTCCCTGTAGCCGGAGACGCGGGGGCAAATGGGCCCGAATTTCAGGAGGTCATTCCCAACCTGCACATTCAGAACTACCCTTACAAAGGTCACCAGCTGGTCGCTCAGCGACTACAGGCTATCATCGTGAAGGATACTGATGGGTACCAGTCTCGGTAAAAATTGGCAATGGCTCCTTCACATGATGCGGCCCCTCTAGATGGATCTGGAGTGAACCTGGCTGCTTCCTCGTAACATCACCCATGCGGTGCATCAGCGACAATGTCGTTGTTTTTTCCACGAGCCCCGCGGTGTTAACGACTGCTGTCGCGAAACACTCGCTCAATCGCATACGACATTCCCCACGTATGCAATGTGATATGGCATAGCGTCGGCCGGTTGCATGGAAGAATGCTATTGTACTTGGGGCAAGACCACGAATCACGTAGCTTGAGTTTGGTTGTCTGCAACAATTCCTATTGCAAATCGAGGCTACGTGTACTGGCAGAATTCCCCAAAGCAGTGTTTGCAGCTAGCGGTTCTTATTCGTGCCTCCTGCAGAGGACTCACCAAATTGCCGCCCGCAGCCGCATGCGGGGGCATGCTGCAGATTCGCCACGTTGCCGCCCGTTGCCGCGTGTTTGCCGCCCTAAGCAACATGTCGGGAATTCGCCACGTTGCCGCCCGCGGCCGCCCGCGGGGGCACGCCGAGAGCTAATTCACCACGTCGCCACCCGAAACAGCCTCTTTGCCGCGCCGTTGCCGCTTCATGCGCTGCGTTGGTATGCCGAGAATTCGCCACGTTGCCGCCCGGTGCCGCCTCGTTGCCGCGCCGCTGCCGACCCGCGCGATGGGTGGTATGCCGAAGGTTCGACGCGGTGGCGCCGTTTGCCGCGTATGGGGGTATGCCGAAGGTTCGACACGTTGCCGCCCGTTGCCGCCCCGTTGCCGCCCTTTGCCGCCCGTTGCCGCCTGCGTGGAGATGCCGAGGATACGCCACCTTGCCGCCCGTTGACGCCCGTTGCCACCTGCGAGGGTGTACCGACGATTTGCCACGTTGCCGCCCGTTGCCACCTGTGGGCGCGCCCAGACTTCGCCACGCTGCCGCCCGTTGCCGCCTGCGGGGGTATGCCGAAGATTTGCCACGTTGCCGCCCGTTGCTGCCTCGTTGCCGCCCGTTGCCACGTCGTTGCCGCCTCGCGCGTTGCGCGGGTATGCCGAAGATTCGACACGTTGCCGCCCGTTGCTGTCAGTTGCCGCGTCGTTGCCGCCTCGCGCGCTGCGTGGGCAAGTTGGGGATTCGGCACGTTGCCGCCCTTTGCAGCCCGCTGCAGCCCGTTAGCGCCTGCAGGGGCATGCCGAAGGTTCGACGCGCGGCCGCCCGTCGACGCCCATTGCCGCCACTTGCGTCCTGCGGAGGCATGCCGAGGATTCACCACAACGCGCCGCCCTTTGCCGCGCGCGTGCATGCCGAGGATCCGCCACGTTACTGCCCTTTGCCGCCAGTTGCCGCCCGTTTCCCCCTGCGGTTGTCAACTGTCCAGCTTCCATTAATTAGTTGCTTCATGTTCCTCTCTTTTTGCTTTCCGTGTCGCCCCAGATCTCCTGAGCTTTCGCGCCAAAGTGTCCGAACTCAATCGGATGCAAGGCCACCAAGACTTTGATCGGCCCGAGCAGGCCGAGAGGGCCGCGAGCCTCCTGAAACAGCACGCGCACGCGCAACAAAAGGACAAGATCCTGACAGACAGGCTGGCGGCGCAGGACAAACAGCTTCGGGAAGCTGGTGCGCTTCGGAAGGACAAGCATCACAACGTCTTGCACCGCCGAAATGCGGATCTTCACGGACACTGGACGTTGACTCGCCCACCCCCGGACCGCGAGAGATCCAAGGAACAACGCGCCCAGATCAGGCCGGAGGACGCACAGAGGGCTCGGCAGGAGGACCATGACTTCAGAGAGGGCATCCAGACCTGGTTCGCCTGCCGACGCAGCTCCTTCTTCTCCCAGTCGGGATCCGGAGAGGGAGGCGAAGCCAGGCCCTCCGCGGGCCGATGTGTCTCCGACCCCAAGCTGCGACTTCGACTCTGCAAGGCTTAACTGCGACGGCAACGACACAGGGAGCACCAACCCTCCGACTGGGAAGCGAAAAACTGGCATGGCCGACTTCTCGAAGACCAGTGACTGCCAGGAACTGAGACTCTCCACAACCCGCAACCTGGCACGCAAGCCCCCAAAACCAGACAGACGCAAGAAGCGTTCTGACAACGGGAGGACCAAGAAGAAAGCCAAAATTGCAGTGATGAAGACTGCAAAGGCTGCCGGGTGCTGGACTGATCCCCGTTTTTCCAGCTGCCTTTCCCCTTCCGTACAGCAACCAAAGAATAGTGAGGTTGTCAACCGTCCAGATTGCACCAGCGTTGGTTCATTCCCTCGTCTCCTGGCGTCTCCTGGCCCACCCATCTCACCCTGTGCTCTTGCGCCCGCTGCCGCTGGGCCCTTGAGCCACGGCGCCCGTAGACAGGCAAAAGAGATCTCTCGAGAACGACCCAGTCCGAACCGATCGAAATCGACAGCGGGGGCATGCCGGGGGTTCGCCACGTTACTGTCCGCCGCCGTCCGTCGCCGCCCGTGGGGGCACGCCGAAGATTCGCGGCGCTGCCGACCGTTGCCTCCTCGTTGCCGCTGCATTACACGGCATACTCTTCGAAAGTGCAGTACCTAACTGATTGGGCTTCACGCTGGCAAACAATACTAGGACCACGCGCGCGTTTCGCGCGCGCAAGTTCTAGCAAGCACCCGCCCTTGACAAAAAAAATCTTTCGGGCGATGTCACAGCCCCTGGCCGCTTCCTCACGTTGTGCTGCGCGACTCTACTGCCGGCTGCCGCTCACCCACTGCGCACTAGCTGCCACCTTTCTTGCCTCTGCCAGCGTCTCTTCCCATCGGGTTCGGGGTCTGCCCCGGACTAGCCGGATCGCCAACCGCGACTCTTGCCCGCGCGACGCGATCAGGCGCTGCCAGTTCAGCCACCCCGCGCCGCGATAGCCGAACACGCGCGGCGTCCAAGCCTGCGGGTAGTGGCCGCGGCGAGTGCGGGACTCCCACGACACCTGCGCCTTCGCCCACGCTTACCTCCAGCGCCCGGTCCTGGCGGCCAGGGGCGAGGTGATCATGCGGCGTCGTGGCACGAAAACGCCCCAATCCTCGTTCGGCGCTGGCCGAATGCCGAAGGTGATGGTCAGGAGCCGGCGTTGTTGCAGGCGATCGAGGCTACGCGCCTACGTCTTCTGGCACGACCAGCGCGAGAAGCGATACTTGGCGATGATCAACATGCCGCTTGTCAGGAACCGAATCTTCGCACCCTCGTTTGTGCGACGCGCCCATTGGTCCAGCTTGCCGAAAAACGCTCGGAGCATCGCCGCCGTGGCCGCCGCGTAACACGAGGGGATGCCCCCGTTGTGGTCGATGATGTGGCCCAGCGTCTTCATGGATTCCTTCTTGTCCCAGCTGCGTTGCGAGACCACATTGTCGCGCCTGCCCTAGCAGATGAGCTATTCCCGGGAGTCCTCCCCCATCTGCAGATTCCATCGCCGACTGACTTGTTCCGCGCCATCGTCTTGAATGCGAATGCCAGCTGCTGGATCCTTGGACGCCGCGAGATTGGTTGTCCACGAAAAAAGCCACGCCTGCGCCTTCAAAACGGAGCGCGTGCCAGAAAGGCATATGCTGCGACGCCACATCCAACAGCGGGATGCGCCCGGCTGCGCCGGCGCTCCGGGAGCCAGCGTGCATGCCGACACTGCGGGCGCTGCGCGTTGCGAGCGCAGACCCCACTCTGAGCACGACGAGCGGGGAAGTATGCAGCTTCACCAGGGTGGCGGCCTCGTCAGGCGAGCCGGGTTCGTCCCTGAGCCACAAAGCAACGCGTTTCGCTTTCAGGGCATCGTAATAGTTCCGCACGTCCTGCTGGCAGGCACAGACCTGGGACTCGTTGTCCATACCTTTTTTTCGATGACGAACGCCAGCGGGCGCACAGCATCTGAAGTCAGGCGCCTGCTCTTGGCGCGCTCGAGATATGGCGATATCAACGCGGCCGACAGGACTTGGGCCGCGTACCTGTCGACAATGTCGTACGCACATACCCAAACATGAAGTGGCCCTGAGATGAAGAAAAAGCACGAAGACGGATCGAACATTACCGCCACATGTACGCCTAGGCATCCTCAACGATACGCAAAGCAAAGCAGAGCAAAGCCGCGATCGAATTCCAATCTGAATTTGTCATATTCGGCGAGTGTCACAACAACCCATCGTTAGCAAGTCATATTGTCATATTCGGCAAGTTCCGCAAGGAACGCTTAGCAACCAAAACTACACAGAAATACGAGGAAATGCAAATCAAGAGAGAGCTGAACCATGTAAAGGAATATGGTGCGAATAAGCAGTGCACATGCAATGCAAAACAAAACACTGCGATCAAATGCGAGAGATTGAAATGAACCCGACAACCCAAGCAACGCGGAGTTCGGATAGCGCAGGAACGGGGAATCCAGCGAAAGAGCCAAGGGAACCTGAGCTGGAGGTCGTAAGTGCCACCAGGTCCCCTGCACAGAGAGAGGGCCAGAGAGGGAAAGGAAGAACGAGGAGGGAGGAGGGAGAAGCGAGAATACAGGCCACAGCAGGGATGAGAGAAGAGTCGAGCGAGAGGTCTTCGAAATGGCTCGGGGCCGTCTTAGGCCCCCCAACAGCGGGCCTGGCCCCGAAGCGCTCCAAGAAGGGTCGGCCCCCCACGGGACTAAAAAGGGGTGCGGGGGGGGGAGTTTTGAAAAAGTAGGCCGCCCCCAGGGCCGGGGGCCCGGTTCCCCGTTGTATGAAATACTTGTATGTCATACGTCAACACCAATATGATGCTATGGACTCATATGGTCGCTATTAACATTGGTGAACGTTTCTCGCAGTTCTCCTTGGTTCGAAAAATGCCCCACCACTTACCTGAGCCCTGCCAGGGAAGCTAGTAATCGTGCCAGCTGAGGACACAAAACCCACTGCCGGGCTGCTCCACCAATACAGCACCATACCACCATAAACGCGTTTGTTTCACTACCACCTACAGCATGAAAACGATCAGGAGTGCATTAGACAAGCTGATGGTACGCTCTTCGATTCCTTTCACGGTGTCGTCCGCAGGTGGGATACTCGCACGAAGATCGCAACCTTCCGCACGCTTGGCCATCACGATCCAATTGCTCTGAGCATGCATTCGACCACGATGCATTCCCGCAGCACTCTCACGTCTTGCTTACTGCACAAGTGGCGTCGCTGCGCCCGAGCACAAGAAAGGCGCACAGCAGGTTCGTGTCGTGTCGACCCCGGCGTTGGTTCCTGACACCACGGGCATCATTCTGGTTCGCACACGGCGTTCAACGTTGAACGCTGGCGGCGGGGTCGCCGCCTGTCGACACGGCGCGAACCTACCGCACTGTCTAAACGTAAAGGGATCAGCATGGACACTCCAACACGGAACTGATAGCGCTTCCATTGCCTCGGTCGCGGCTGACGTCTGGAGTGACGTCCAAAGACCTGGGACATGATCTGGTGTGCTCTCGGCAAACGGCCTGGGGCTTGCCACCACCGACCTCTCACTTCTTGGCGAGGTCTCGCCTTTGTTGTCCGCGCCCGTCCCCTCCCCTCGCTATCCAACTCTGCCCTTGTCCGTCCCCTCCCCTCCCCTGCATTTTCCCCCGCCTGCTCCCCACGGCTGTCATCGAGAAGCGCTCGATGCACTAATGAAGACGACGCCAGCCAAAAGAAGCCCCCACCTCGACATCGTGCATTCGTCTGCTCTCCTCGAGCCTCGAGCGCTGCGAGGCGTGCGAGTCGAAGGCGCTCTCAAGATTCATGCGCTCACCTGGGCTGCCACGTAGCAGTGCGAGAAACAAGCATAGTTTGTTGGTGTATTCCTTCCGGAGGGGATGCAAGTGTCCTCGGTGATCTAAAGGAGCAGTGTAATTGACTGCCTAATGAACCCTAGCATGAAAAAAAAAACGAAAGTGTGTACCTCAAGGTTGGCCAAGCCAACAAGCGAAGATGATGCAGCCCGACCAGCCTCGCTCTAAAACATCAGACGACAATCACCACTCCTCGCTCGTTGTCAATCTCGATCTCTGGCAAATCGGGATTGCGAATCCTGTCCCTGATTTCTCTCTCCCTGATTGCTGGAGCCTCCCGTGGGGCCCCCGAGGCCCACAATGACACCACCGAGCGCGAAGTCTTCCTCAAAAGCAACATGACAGTCCTTATTATCTTGATCGCTCGACAGTGCCAGGAAAATCGCAAGCGCTGACTGGCAAAAACAAAGACGAAGAAGGAAATATCGCGCACTGAAGAGCAAATGATGGGCATGCATCGAGACGTGTGGTTTGCTACCACGTAAGGGGTCTCTCGAAAGCCCAGAACATCATGGAAGGGCATCGAACACGATGTAACGTCAGAATTATGACCAAGTGACTACCAGCGTGGGCCTCCGACAGCAGGTCCTTCCAATCGTGAAGGGCCGCCTGTGTGACGCAAAAAGGCCAACAACGTTTCGCAACAACGCAGGATAGCAAAGCCGGGGACTGGCGACGGCGAGTCGCATCAACGAATGCAAGCGGGACGCGGGACTGGATGCGGCAATCACAACAGCCTAGGGCGGCGGGGCCATCCTCCCACTCTCTCGCACTCTCTCTCCCTCTCTCCCTCTCCCTCTCGTCCTCTCCATCTCTCCCTCTTTACAATGACACAATGAATACTACTCTCCTGTCTCCCCCGATGACGTCCGGGAAATATCCAACCCCCCTCAGCGTACTGTATTAAAAACAATCAAGATTCCCGGGAAACGGATTTACGCTTGGGTTTCTTAACTGCTGCTCCCGCTGAAGCGCTGGCCTCATTTTCGGGCTTCCGCTCGTTCAGAATCGTGCTCCCCTGCGGCGTTGGCCGCACTGCCGCGCTTCCGCTCGTTCCGAATCGCGTTCCCGCTGCAGCGCTGGCCTTCCTTCCAACCAGGCCTCAAGATCTAGAAAATGCCCCCCCGAAAAAAACCGTCAGGAGTGATTACACCGTCGGTGTCGATTCGTGTTTTTTGGGCCGCAGAAGCCCCCACCAGTCGGGGGCGTCGTCGTTTTCAGGAAGTATCAAGCGGGAGCCCCGTTTCTGCTGTGAGATGGCGATGTTGTAAGCAGAGCGAGCGGGTGATCTCCATCAGCTCCGCCCTGTGTGCAGGTTCTCGTGGAGCCCAAGCAGCTAGACATGGAGCCACAACTCCAGACTGGCCCAGACCGGCCCAAACGTCTCGAAGGCGATCCACTTACCCTCCAAAGAACCCGGCGCCATGCCATGACATGTTGTGCGGTGTTGTGTTCTGCGCGGCGCGCTGCTGTGCGATGCCATGTTTTGCGTTGCCATGCTTCATGATGCAATGCTTCACTGCGCAATGCCACGCCATGCTATGGCATGCTACGTTCTGCAGTGCTCTTCCATGCCATGCCATGCCGTGCTCTACCATGCATCGCGTACCCTCTCGCGGTCATTGCCCTGCTCGACATCCGACTGTGCGAATAGAGAGGAGATCTACGCCATGGTAAGGGATGGGAGGGAGGGGTAGGACGCCAGATATGACGCGAGTGCACCTAGCTTGCCCTCTCCCTCTCTCCCTCCCTCCCTCCCTCCCCACCAATCTCCGTCGAGGGTTTTGCTCAGAACGAACCCAGACGCCAATCGCCACACATCAATTCTTGCTTCGCGAGTCCGGGCACGGCCCTGTTCAGGCCGTGACAGTTTGGCGTCACATCCCTCCAGTCCCGCGCGCACACGATGGCTCCGAAAGGCCCCCGCCATGCACCAATTGCACCACGGCAGCCCAAACCACCAGGGAAGGGCCGCCAAAAGGTAACCATGCCGGACTGCATAGCAGTCAATCCCGAAGGGAAGCCTGCGTCGCCGCACTCCAGAGCAGTGGTGACGTCGACCGAGCAGTCGCTGCATACAACGACATTGCTCACAAGCATCACACCGATCTCGCGTCCATTTACCAGCAACAACGCTCCGACCAACGTAGGCTCAGGGGCGAAATGATGAGATTGCGCGGGAAAACAGAAACAGCCACAACATGCTGCACGATTCCCACACACACACACACAGGCCTCAGAACGTGACCCACCAAAGGACCACGGTCGACGCCGATGCCCACCAGGGCAATGGAAAGGCCCCACTCGCCAGCATGGACCCAAAGAACTGGGACGTCCCTGTAAACACCGCGCCGAAAAAGCGGGCGACGGGACGTCGCACACCAGCACCATCGCGCTTCACACGCTAGAGGAAGGCGACCGCCTGCTACAGCAGATCCGAACACAAGACAAACCTCTATCACGTGCAGTTCCTGAACCTATCAACAACGACGACCCAGGACGCGAGATTCCCATCCCAGTCCTCCGCCGTACGGCCAAGGCTACCAAGACTACGCCAGGACACACTCAAGGGACCGTGTACCAGCTTGGACGGGACGAAAGACAATCCCTCCAAAACGCAGTACAGGTCACTCTCGACCCAGCTAACAACGTCATTTGGATCCACGCCGCTATCTGTGAGGCCGACGCTATTGTTCAGTCGGGCGTGTCCCCCTACAGGGGGGGTTGGACGAAGAACAAAAATTACCCCAGTGCGACCCTACCTAGAAGTTGGAGCCCCTGGGAAAGCAGCATTAGTTGCTATGCTATGCTATGCTATGCCATACCATGCTATGCTGCGCTATGCTATGCTCTGCTATGCTAGGCTATGCTATGCTATGCTGCGCTGTGCTATGCTGTGCTGTGCTGTGCTGCGCTCTGCCATGCTATGCTATGATATGCTGCGCTATGCTATGCGATGCTGGGCTATGCTATGATGTGCTGTGCTGCGCCATGCTATGCTACGCTCTGCTATGCTATGCTGTGCTATGCTATGCTAAAGCTCGGCGAAGCTAAGATGAAGGTAAGCTAAGCTAAGATAAGCCTGAGCTAAGATGAAGCTAACTAAGCTAAGATGAAATAAGCTAAGCTAAGATGAGATAAGCAACGCTAAGCTGAGGGGACGCAACTGGGGGAACCGCAGGGCGGATCCTGGGGGAACCGCCCGGGGCGTGTTACACTGCCCGGCCCTTTAAGCCCAGAGAGTAAGAACCCTTCTAGGCAGAGCCTAGGTAGGGACCCTTCTAGGCAGAGCCTAGGTAGGGCGATGTGGTCACCACGGGATGAGGAAGGTGGCGCCTTCCAAGAATGGATGCAGGTCTGCATTGGTCGCGCCACGGAAGACCTGCGGCACCCTGTCTTCAATCCGCCGACCGGGCACTCACAGCGGGGTAGTGGGCCCACTGATGTCCTCCGCCAACAGAGAACCTTCGAGCTGTGCCTCACGGCATGGCAGAACACACAACTGACCAGAACCTACGAGCGATGAGCCTTTGCCAGGCTCTCCCACCTAGACCGTGGATCCTACATGGCCACGCAGGCGCATCATTTTCACGGGGAGGCCACCGCGGTCGCCCACTTCAACACGCAAAAGGAACAACAAAAAAAACGAGATCGCCCGCAGCCGCGTCACGCGATCGCCGCCGCCCCCATCAGGGACCGCCGAACACGAGCACGGAACTCTACGCTACGGCAGCAGCTACTTCGTAAGCAGACCACCCATTGTCGTCTGGCTCCTCACTGTCGCCAATCTATTTCGTGTCTCTGGGGAGGTGCCCACCGACGATGACCCTGACCAGAGCGCGGCGACAGGCCCCGCTACGATGGCTAACCAAGTGCACGCAGAGTCACCAGACCAGCGCTCTCACTCAAACGTGGTAGCCAAACCAATACAGGAGCTCCTCGGCGGCGTCATCGCCAATGCGGGTACCACCAGAGGCCTCCTCTCATGTCTCTGCGGGGCCCACGTGGTCGTGCAACGCCCCTTAGCATGACGTCCGCTGGTCGCCCCATGGCAGGCGCCTTGGCACGTCCCGTGGCAGGTCGCCCAGGCGGATGTCTAACATGAGGATGTGTTGAGGATGCCTCCAGCGAGACGCTTGTTTTCACGTGTCCAAATCGCCCACGCGGAGGTCTAATATGAGGATTTGTTGAGGACGTCTCAAGCGAAACGCTTGTCGCAATAGAGTGCGTCGCAGTCCAACCCCGCCCGTCCGTGGGGCGTGTCCAGGCGTCCTGGCGCGCCCGCTGGTGCATCCCTTGCAACGTTCTGGCGCTGGCGTGACGTGCCCTGGCACGTCCCCTAGCACGCCACTCGGCTTGGCACGTTCCCTGGCTCGTCTTCAGTCGCGTTTCCCTGCTCGTCCCCAGGCGTGTCCCCTGCCCGTTCCGTGGCGCGCCCCTTGCAAAGCCCCTTGGCATGGCCTCCTCTGGCCGCCCCATGGCACGCGCTTTGGCACGTCCCGTGGCAGGTCCCTGACACGTCCAGGGCACGTCCCCGGATACGTCCCCTGACACGCCCCCTGGCGCATCCCTTATTGTGCCCCCTGGCGCATCCTGTGGCGCGTCCGTGAGCCTGTGCCCCGTGTCGTGTCGTTCCTTTTCGGAGCTAAGTCGGATTTGAGGGCGAGTTGATTGAACGTCCCGCGTGTGCTCAGGCAGCTCGAGCTTAAGATCCAGATCAGTTCGGTCTAGACTCGGATGCGAAGGAAGACTCGATCCACAACGCTATAGAGCACAATCGCGGCATGGCACATCGCAAGTCGGCACCGCGCAGCACAGCAGTCCTTGGCACGGTACATCAAGATCAATACACTCAGCATTGCAATTGCACGTCGCCCAATCAGGTGTCTTGAAAACGTTGCCATGCCTCACATCTCTATACTCCTTTCCGGGTTCGTGGGTCGACCATGTTCCCAAGCTCCGCATCGTGCCTGCCAACGCGCGTGCAAAGGCGGCGCCACTGCCACGGGTGCGCAGACGGGCCCTTGAGCGGCATGATCACCGCATACCTCATGCTTCGCTTCCCAGCCGGGGCCCCATACAGGCCGCGCCACGGGGGGGGCCATCCCACCGCCCCTGCTTCGTCAGCGGCGCCTCCCACCTCGTGAGGTAGGCGTGCAAAGCGCTGTTAGCCTCGGGGCCTGGACAGACCAGCTGTCCGAAGTGTGGCGCTCTCCCTCCCTCCCTCCCTCCCTCCACTTGCACTCCTTCCTCCCTCCCTCCCTCTCTCCCTCCCTCCCTTCCTTCCTCCCTCTCCTTTCCTCCTTCACTCCCTCTCCCCCTCCCCTGCTCTCTCCCTTCCTTGCTCGCTCCGTCTCCTTTCCTCCCACCCTCCGACCCTCCCACAGTTTCGTCCACCACCTCCACATCTCGCCCTGCTCATCCTCATCCGCATCCTCCTCTCGCCCCCCCTTCCGCCCCTGATGCGCGTACTCCTCATATTTCTCCTCCTCCTCCTCATCCTTCTCCTCGTCCTCCTCCTCCTCGTCCTCGTCCTCGTCCTCCTGCTCCTCCTCATCCTCATCCTCTTCCTCCTCCTACCTCCTCCTACCTCCTCCTTCCTCCTTCTACTCGTCCTCCTCTTCTTCCTGTCCCTTCTCCTCCTCCTCCCCATCCTCCTCTTTGCCCTGCTCCTTATCCTGCTGATGGACCTCAGCCTCTTCATTCAGCTATTCGTCCTTCTCATAGTCATACGCCCTTGGGAATCTCAACATGTTGAAATAATGTCCAGGCGATCCCAGCCACCCAGCTTCGAGAAGGCTGAATGCAGAGCAGGACTGGGTCTCAGGTGAGCCTAACACCTGGCACTCGCAGCATCAGATGCAGCCCACTCAAAGGGGGGGACGAAAATATCATCTGTCTGCCTATCAATCGCTCGATCATCAGTTTGATGGCAGCCCGGCCCACGCTTCTGCGTGCGCACAGCCTCGGCGGAGTTCATCGCAAGCTCGTTAGCGACCTCGGCAGATGAGGGCGCAGCAGCAAGTTCTCCCGCTCCGAAGACACTCATCCCTGGTGCAACACCTCCCTACCCGCAGAGGAAGCAAATCTTCGAGCATCACAACCACCATATGAGTGTATCATCCATTCCCATCTCAGTTGGGCAAGAAAGGCACTTGATTGGAAGCAGAAGGAAGAAGACAAAACGAGAACAGCAAGACGAAGATGGAGAAGCACAGGGTGAGGGTACGGATGAGGAGAAGGGTGAGCATGAAAGCGACTACGAGAGCGTATGGGATTGTGATGGTACGGAATTACGAGGGTAAAGAAGCGAGCAGAATGAGAAGCTGGGGGAGAAGGAGACAAACGAACGATGATGTATTCGATGAAACAGATCATGTATAAAAATGAATAATCAAACGAATATGCACAGCCCCCTCCCCCCAGCACCCACTGATCGTCTTCTGGCCTTTTGGCGGTAGTCTGCTCTCCTCTTCCTCTCCATTCGTACGCTCCTCCGCCTCCTCCTCCTGCTCCTCCTGCTCCTCCTTTGCCTCCTCCTAGTATTCCTATTATGCGTCCTCCTCCTTCTGATCCTCCTGTGCCTGTTACTGATATTAGCTTCCTCCTTTTTCCAGCGACTTCGGAACCTCCTGCCGTTGTTGCTCCTCCCCTTATCCATTATTTGTGTTCCTGTCTTTTTCTTCCTCCTCCTCCTCGTCAACTTGCTCCTCCTCCTCCTCCTCAACATCATCATCCTCATCATCATCAGCATCATCATCATCGTCATCATCAGCATCATCAGCATCAGCATCATTAGCAACATCATC